CTCCTCAGAACACAAAGCCCCATGCAGCTCAAGCTCAGTACTAAATTAAAGTAAAAGCCATTCCATCCTGAACACTCCTGGCATCCCACTCTGCCTTAATGACTTGTCCCTGTCCTGTGCAGGTCTATGTATCTGGGCACTCGGTATTCTCCAGCCACCACTTGTGCATTAGAGTGGAAGAGTGTTGTATGTCGATAGGAGGCTCTGCCTCTTGAAAGACATCAGCTTAACTGTGCAAACTTACTGAAAAGGACTCTCTGGGGCCCCCTTAGCCACCGCTCCAAGGAATCACCTCTTTATATGAGCATTAGCAACCTACTGACATGCTGTCATTACTGCAAGTTGCACCAGCGATCATCCTCCCTTCCCTCCCCTACAGATGGAGCTATTGAACGGAACAGGTACTTGAGCTTTGTTAGCACCAATTTACTGTTGGAATTTATATCACGAGAACTGCCCGCTGGGAGCACTTCAGCACTCAAGAAATGTGATGTGTGATTAGCACTGAGCACGGCCCTCTGAACCAATGAGAACTATTTCAACGTTTTGCATTTTATTTCCAGTTTCAACCCAAAGGACTGTCACTAAAAAAATCTCACAGACTCAAAAAATAATACATTATTATTTGTAATGGTCTCTTTTAAATTTCCAATTAGAGCTATCACCACACACGAGTAATATACTGCCAGACCTCCGTATTAAAAGAGTGTAACATCTTTGTAAGACATCAGTAGGCTTTAATAGTGATGTACTAAGCTTACCTTTTAAGCTTTTCATAATTCAATTAACAGAGTGAAATAGCTGTAGATGTCCAATTTTTACGTATTAACATTGATTTCTTATAAAAGGAAGACTGAAGGAGGAAGATGCAAGTCAGCTTCACAGTGCAATATTGCTCGGATTTAACTTAGGATTAGGTAATATCAAGCAGCTCAAGAAGACCTAGTGCTTAATAGAAAAGTGACAATACAAGACCACAGCATAAGTGCAGCAGCATTAACTTTTGGTGGAGATATAAAAACTGTCAAAGGTTGAAGATTACATTCTTTGTTTAAAATCCCTGCAATTACCTGCTTCAAAAAGAAATTCACTGATGCATAGACATACGGCTCACAGGCACAGCTGCCACCTTGCCCGATGTGTGTCACCACTGCTCAAATTAAGCGTCTAGTTCTACTAATGCAACATTTTGAAGCTGTCCAGCATATGACCACTGGGAAGACAATTTTAACCAATTAAACAGAAATTGTTTCCACTGCAACATAAGAGCACAAGAGCAACAGCTTTCTGTATGGAACTCAATAGCCCACAACCTCATCACTTCCAAAGAATTAAATGAAACGAAGACCAGTAATGCAGAGAGGAGGACGTCTGAAAGACAAGCTGAAAAAATCAGGCAGCATGTGTACACAGCAGTGCTCTTCCCTGGGAAAACAGTGATACTCAGTGCAGATGCACTGCACCCACTGTAACAACTGCTTCTGATCATTCCAAAGTTGCTGCTGGCTTATCCTCTGGGCAGATGTTATGACAGTAATGCCCTTAGGAAACTGCCCAGTGTGAAGGTAGGTTTTTTGTTCAAGGACTATCTAAATTCCCAAGTCTAGAAGCAGCGGTGTGAATCCTCTTGGTAAACACAAGGCAGAGAGAAAGTCTCGATACATGTGAGACCAAGCTCAAAATCCTGCCTGGGCCAAGTCCTGACTAGCTTTGTGTTGCTTTGGAAAAATCTCATCTTGTTCTTCCTCCCCTTTGCTGACAGGTGCCGTGTTCTTTCTCAACTTAAAACACAAACAGGTAAATTAGAAAGGCTCACAGCAGGGGCTGAGGAGCAGAACGATGCTTAAGTAAACCAGTGGCATGCTCAGATGCCTTGCAGTACCAAGCAACTGTAAACATAGAACTATCTCAGAGATTAAGTGTTCATCGAGAAGACACACACACTCCCCCCGATACGCACCTTTTCATGTATGGAAAAGGCTGAAATGACAGTCTACAAGAAGAGCCAGCCTGTGTCTTCTTCATGTTAAGCCAGCCAGGTATAACCTCCACCTCAGGCATACATTATGTGATACCACTCTGGTACTTTTGGTGCACAAAGTCAGCTCCTCCTCTGCTTCAGCGTCCCAGGGGAAATCACTCAGAAGTATGCCCATGCCACGGAGGGAAGGCAGGATTTTTTTTGTGTTCACCACACGTAGCTAATGTACAAAAAATCTCTGGGAACACACTGCTGGTACTTTCCAGAAGAATGACTCAGAGCTCAGCGTTCATGAGAACCTGCTAGGACATTTGGAAACTACCTAGTCCTTTCTAAGAGCTGGCCAAACGATAACATAAGCTTTTCCCCTAGTGAAAATACCACCCAGTGAATATCTCAGTTCCTCCTCTTTGAGACACACAAGGCGCACAATAGCAGCTCACAGTACTTACTAACGAATTAGAAATCAGCCAATGCTACAGACACTGCATTAACATCCTTCTATACCAGAGAGGCATATATGTCTTTTGAAAGCAAACTAATTTAGCAGAGTAGTTTAAAAATGCTAGAGACTGCTATCCATCAGGATGGTGAGAAGGGCAGTTTCATTCTATGATTCTATAGTATGCTGAAGTAAATAACAGGTAATGAAAAACTACAATATGTTTTAGTTAGAACAACCATAGAATCATACAATGTTAGGGGTTGGAAGGGACCTCTAGACATCATCTAGTTCACCCCCCGACCAAAGCAGGATCCCCCAGGGCAGCCACACAGGAACACGTCCAGGCAGGCTTTGAAAGGCCCCAGAGAAGGAGACCCCACAACCTCTCTGGGCAGCCTGTGCCAGTGCTGTCACCCTCACAGTAAAGAAGTTTCTCCTCATGTTGAGGCGGAACTTCCTACGTTCTGGCTTACACCCATTATTCCTTGTCCTACTACTGGGCACTACTGAGAAGAGATCAGCACGTTTCTCTTGACCTCCACTCCTCAGGTATTTATATACGTTAATAAGATCCCCTCTCAGCCTTCTCTCCTCAAGACTAAACAGCCCCAGTTCTCTCAGTCTCTCTTCACAGGAGAGATGTTCAAGTCTCTTGATTATCCGTGTAGCTCTGTGTGGGACTCTCTCCAGTAGGTCCCTGTCTCTCTGGAATTGGGGAGCCCAAACCTGGACACAGTGTTCCAGGTGTGGTCTCACCATGGCAGAGCAAAGGTGGAGGAGAACCTCCCTAGATCTGCTGGACACACTTTTCTTAATGCACCCCGGGATCCCATTGGCCCTCTAGGCCACAAGGGCACGTTGCTGTCCCATGGACACCTTACTGTCCACTAGGACTCCAAGGTCTCTCTCCATGGGGCTGCTTTCCAGCAGGACGTCCC